AGTTGTAAAGTACGATGACCTTGAAAATCAGGCTGCTAGCTAATCTGATCAGCTCTTTCAGAACCTCACAAACTCCTTTTGATTGGCGGAAAGGGGCAATTCATGCTTGAATCTCTGAACCATTTGCAAGGTTTCCAGTCTTTGGCCGATCTTCTCTCTCATGAAAATGGCTCATAAATGGAACCTAAGAACCAGGTGATGCATTTTCCAATCCCCGCTCCATTGTTGGTTAGTTCCAGTCATTTCTCCACTTCATCTTTTGGTAATGAAAACCTTGCAAGCAAATCTTTCAAATGCTTCTTCTTCTTTGTGAACCTGTGACTCTCAATCCTCCATCTTTAGATCGAGAAAGTTATGGAGAAAGAGACAAACAACTTTTAAGTTTTGTTTGAATGAAACATTAACTATCGTTAAAACCTAAGGGTTGAACTACTCGGTAAACTTATATTTAAAAAAAATCAGGTTCAACTCTTGATGGGTTGAACTGGTATTTGAGAAGCACTGTTCACCCAATGTGAACTTATAATAGTTCGACCTTTCAAGAGTTGAACTGGGGGTGATTTTGCCAATAAAAGAAAAATGACAAAAAAGGGACCTCTTTGTAAAATTGAAGTATTTGAGACTGTTTCAATATCAAGAAAAAAAGGACCCATACGATAGTTTCCCGAATTTTTTATTGGTAAAGGTAGGGATAATTTACATCCAAATATCTCGGTACAAAATAGGAAACTTCGCACCACTAAAAGCTTGTGTGTGTGCAAGATGGATATGCATGAATTATCATATGTGCATATATATAAGCATAAACTTATGCATGCATGCATGCATATGTGTGTACCATTTCCATTTAGTAAGTTGCCATCACAATTGGCAACTTAGTTGTTTGCAACTCAGGATTAAGTAACATGTAAAACTCCACCAGAAACAACTATGTTGTCCTCCCCCCTACCCTTCCACTAAACTAAATAACTATCTTATCTCAAAAACTAGCTAGACAACACCTAGCTCTATTTTCAAAGTTAGGACAGAGTATATCTTCACTTGCATATTTTGATTTCAATTGTGTGATACGTGGAATAATTCTTGTTAATTTTTCATATGTGACAACTCTTTTACTTTCTCAAACATTAAATGAAACTGACTTCACAAAACAAACTAAACCAATGACATATCATAATTTTAACATTTACCATATCAAGCATACATTATTTATAATCCAGCATCTGACTTCCTTTCAGAATTGAAAATGACAACAATGTGAATGGATTCACAAGGCATTTTTCCCCCACAACACCTCATACGCAAGGCCATGCATTCTAACTCTAATGAAGGACCACACAATAGCCAAACCACCAAGGGTTACCATTGGCTATATGTTCATCGGTATATGCATCAAATCCCCTTTCCAAGGCCTACAATGTGATACCTAGCACCAGATATACTACCTTAAGCCCATGCAGGTTGTTCCACACTAGCAATTCCGCACCCAATTTGGCCATGAGTCACACATGAACACCCCATGTTCCAAAAACCATCAGGCGGGGGAGGCGGGGGGGGGTGGAGGCCTGGCCGCTCAAGAAGAAAAAATAAGAATAAGTGGATAAGTGAGTGAGGAGAATTTAGACAATTCATAATCCATATTTCCATAGAATGCTAGAACCATACAAGCATACACACAAGAGTTGGATAGTAGAAACTAGAAATTAGAAACTAGAAAGTAAGAAAAAATATATATGTACAATCTAAGACTCAACAATCAACCCCAAGAGTAAAGAATCTTCATTCTTCAATCATCATCATCGTCATAAGTAGTGTAAGCCTTATCATATGCATCAGATTTGAGGCCATCATCATCAGAGTCATCTCCCTCCTCGACATAACGTTCATATGCCTTTGTTTCTTCTGAATCTGCCTCATCCTCCTTTTCTTCTACCCCCCCTCTTACTCTGTTCAAATAAGGCCCTAGGAGTCTTGGCTGCTCTACTTGGTGCCTCTTCACCCTTTTCTTCCTTTTTGTGCCTTCTTGAACTCAAATATTGTATAATCTTCTCCATAATAGCCTCAGAAATATTTTTACACAAGTCGACACTCCCATTAAGGCAAGGTGTTTCTTGAACCAATAAATACCCCCATTAATACCCTTTCCACAATAATTACACCTAATACGATTTTTGTCATTCGGATTCGGGTGACGATTGACGACCATACTTCCAACCCGGATCACCACTTCTAGAAGAACATGGAGAGGATATTGTTGTAGAACAAGGCTCATTTTCTTCCTTTTATGATTCTACTAAATTAAAATTTGTCTAATCTCATCCCTAATAGCTTCCGGAAACTTTTTACAAGAAGCAACATTACCTTTAATGCCGGCAAAGTGTTTCTTAAATCAGTTAATACCCGCATTGGTATCTTTTTCACAAAAATTACACCTTATACAATTTTTATTCTTTGATTTCAAGTTATAACCATACTTCCAACCCGAATCACCTCTTCTAGAGGAACCAAAAATAGAGCTATTCAAACGACAAGGATTTCGTTCTTGTTTGTGTTTTATATTGACTAATCTCCCCTCTGATAATTTCAAGAACATTTTTACAAGGGACAACATTCCCCCTAATACCAGCAAGATGTTTTTTAAACCAGTTTATGCCCCTTTTTGTATCTTTTTCACAGTAATTGCATCTCATGCAATTTTTATCCAAAGGATTCGGGTTATAAGCCACGTTTTTAAACCGGGTCACCACTTCGACTAGATCTTGAAAAAGATATCTCAAAATAATACAAGCAATCTAAAAAATAAAATTTTGCACTTTGATTGCTCAATCTCCAAACTTCCACCTTTGAGATGTTTTTTAGTGCTAAAATCTACATAAATACCCTCTAATAGGCCTAAAAAAACTCCAAAACTAAATCTAATCTCAATGGGTAATGTTTAAATCCATTTCTCATAACTTTAAGAAACACTTCGAATTGATGAAAATCAGAAAATCTAGTTTTTTTTAAGGTTTATCTCTATGTAAAATAAGCACTAATGAGGTTTAGGTTTCAAATGAACCTAAAACCCACCTTTAAAAAAACAATTTCCAAAAAGAAAAAAAAAAGGCCTCAACAATGGTCATTTCCGCCCCTGAGGCAGGTGCCCTACCTCCCAGGAGCAGACCACCTAATTTGGCCGTCTAGACTTAGGTGAGACACTTAGGCCCTTTGAACCGCCTAGGCACCGGGCGGTCCGCCTTTTAAAACAGTGGCAACACCAACAGCACACAAAAATATATAACGACCATTTCAACCCACATAGGATGGATTGTTATAGCTCTTAGCACATAAGGTCTGTACTATTACATCCAATTCAACCCACATAGGAGCTATTACATCTTAACCCACAAACTAGCAGTTTACAACACTTCAAACCTCTAACTAGGACCAGAAATGACAGGATAGCATGGAGCAATGGCCAGCAACCAAGACATCAATCAATTTGGTACTCAACCCCCATGCCACAACAAAGCTTAGTTTCATAGCAACCCAAGACGGGTCGGCACATAACTCTATTCAGGTCACATTCGAGCTCCACAATTCTCACTCCGCCCATGTTGAGCTATGCAACTCCATTGAGGCAGAATCGTGGATTTGTTAACAGGAATCAGGTTATGCCAACCAGAACAGGGTCCCCTAGTTGTAGATGGGCACCTATAAAATGCAATCTCATGGGCCAAAAAAGAAACAAAAATGCTCTTGGTGGTTCTCCTGCTTGTTAGATAAAATTTTTGATAGAGTTTCACATTTTTTAAGTTAGATTTGCACATATAAAGCACAAAACTGAGGCCCCTTGCAGCTTCTTTAGCAGAAGAGGGAGTCAAATGGTCATCATTAGTAGTGGTTACACTTGAAGGCCCACCTCTCACCAGATCTTTTCAAGGGACAACTTTGTAAAAACAATTTTGTCAATACCATTAATCATTAACAATTCATACATTCTCATACATTTCAATGAAATATAGAAATATGGTAAACCATCAATAAGAAAAAGAAAATGAGATGAGAAAGGCAACATGATAATGACATGTTGTAAATTATTAAATATGAATATTTGTGTTTCCTCAATTCATTCACTTCTTGTGGATATAATAGACAAACTCAAAACTGCTTGATTCCATGGATTGAAATTAATTTCTCCAAAAAACCAGATAAAGACAAAAAGAAAAAGGAAAAAGAAAAAGAGGGACAACCATGGCTAAATGTGCAGCCAAATTCAAAGAAATGCATTTAAAAAAGAGAAAGCCAGGCATGCAGCTAAATTAAAAGAGTTTCTAGGGAGAAAAAACATTCAAATAAATACATCTAAAAAAGAAAAAGCCAGGCATGCAGCTAAATTAACAGAGCCTCTTGGGACAAAAAACAATTAAAAATAAATATGTATTGGCATTAAAATGATTGGAGAACTTCTCCACATCAAAATATTTGAATCCGACATCGTTAAATACCAAAAAAGAAAAAGAGAGGGAGACTAACACAAAATTCCTTGAATTAAAATCTTTTATGCAGTAGCCAGTAGCCAATGAAAACCATCAGCCAATGAAAACCATCTGTAATTTCCACAAAATGAAAAGTTCAAGTTGTAGTAGCAACATTTGTAGGAGTCCTAGTGTGGAAGTAAAAATACATAATAACAACAACATTGTTGGAGAGGGAAAGAAACAAGTAAGTAGTTGTGATAACTAAAAATATAATGGATTCTTCCATGCTTGATATATAAATAGTAATAGTAAACAACATCATTTAGCGGTAATGCATGCTCCCCAACAACCTACATTGTGTACCACAGTAACTCATAACAAATTTCCTCAAGAAAAGAGATTAGCACCTTCATTTCAACCTTTTCTATCCATATTTCCAAGGAAGAACCCCACAATTTATTTTCATGAGCAAAAGTAATGAAGAAAAAATTAATAAACAAGAAACCAAGGACACCCCAAATTGAAAGAGAATAAAAATACCATCATAGCAGCCGCACTATCGATTTTGTCACCATCAATGCGAAGCATGGTGCTTGCATCTGTGTAAAACTGATGAACAAAATCTGGCTGCTGTTGAAGAACATGGTAATACTGCCCAACGAAGTATGTCCCAACCTGAATAAAAGAAACTCTGAAAATAAGGAAAATATATGATAAAAAGGGAACTAAGAAAAAACCCGGTCTAGCTTTTACCACATTCAAAAAGAAAAAGAAAAAGAAAATAAATGATACAGAGAGAATTAAGAAAAATCATAGCCCTGATTTTATAAACATCACCTGTACAGCAGATACTGGAGCTGGGAAAGTAGCCGCCATATTGTGCCAGAAACATGCAGCAGTTCCGAGACCAAAACCCTAACCCTAATCCTACACCAAAACCCTAGTAGTGTTGCTAGATCTGCAGTGCTTTAAGTTTGAAAGAAACAATAGATAGAAAAGGGGTTCAGATCCGAAGAACAGAGAGAAGAACCAGAGGTTCAATCATAAGACGAGAAAGATCAGTAATAATACGGTGATAAAGCAAAGACAGGAGGGTTTGAGAGAGAGAGAGAGAGGGGGCGAGAAGAGAGAGAAATCTGAAGCGTTGGATATGGCCCTTGGTTTACTCTTCCCCACTGGTTTTTTTTTTTTTTAGAGAGAATGGATTTTATGTTGATAAGTATTTATGGTGAGAGAAAACCTAGAGAGAGAAACATTTTTCTGACGGGAACACCCCTGGAGTATGCTGAATTGACTATAATGCCCGTTTTCTTTTTGAAAAGAGGCAGTGCGCTTGCTTTTTCATTTACAAGGGATGCCGCTTTGGGTCAGCCAGGAAATAGAGGCAACGGATTCCACCGCGTTTTAGAAAGTGAAGCGCTGCAAACGACCATACTGTTTTCGAAATATTTCTATGAGGTTGTTTTTTTGGGTGAAATTTTGAATTTTGTAATGTATCTCATAATAATATTATAAATTGTTTTATAATTTTACTCAACAAATTTTAGATATTTATATACCATTATTTTGTAATCTACTATTTTTAAGAAAATTGTTTCATGCAGGCTCCACTGCATTTCTACTTATGCTGTCTAGAAAGTGGAAAGCATCTATCTTGGATGCAAGTAGGTTTCTATCCAAAAATGATAAGAAACTAAAGATCCAAATGTTTTCTTATTAAAATTATTATTTTTAGTTTTTAAAATTTATTTATTTTTCCATATTCATTATCTCAATGTTAGAGATTATATGTCTAGAAAGTGGAAAGCATCTATCTTGGATGCAAGTAGGTGTTCTATCCAAAAATGATGGAAACTAACGATCCAAATGTTTTCTTATTAAAATTATTATTTTTTTAAATTTTATTTATTTTTTCATATTCATTATCTCCATGTTAGAGATTATATGTCTTTAGAAATTGTTTCACAATCCATCTCAAAAATAGATTTATTAAAAAGTCTTGTGTTTCTACATAGGAAAACTGGGTCTATATTTCTTTGGTGAAGATATACTTTGTCATAAGAAGAAATGTGACATCATCTACATTAATGGTATTTAACCTTTTATGTGGTTGATGCGATACCCTTCCTCACGATGTTACACCTTCTTGATGACAAAATATGTCTTTATTAAAAAAAATATTGTAACTATACAACAAGATATATAAGTGTCCAAAATTAAAATGTTCTATACTCTTAACACTCATAAGAGGGATGTCACTTAACATTTTACCCATATATTTTGATTTGATTTAAAATACTCATCAAAAGACATTTGATCAGGAGTTTGGAATAGTTGGAAGCTGGCAAAATGTTGGATAATTCATGGTGCAACTTCTATAGGGCCCGACCTTCATGAAAACAAAATAAAAGTCTCACATCAAGTCCTCATCTCGAAAGTACTTGGGCATTGAAACATCAATGATGTTACTAAAATCAATTTCAACACCAACTATGAACTTTGAAGCCAAAAATTATAGATATTGCGGAGTCGTGAATACTAATTTTTAGGGCAAAATGGAATGTCTAAATAATATATCATAATATAATTTTTAGACTTGAAATTCTGATCTTTTTTCACAACCGTAATGGTCATCTATTTGAAAGTTTTTTTATGCCATAACTGCTATTTTTTATAAATTTTTAGGTGAAATTTTACTTATTTTGATAAGACTACAATTATATCCAAACATTTTCCTTTTGATAAATTCCTCATAATTTATATTACTATTGATATTCATAATGGCATGACTCTATAAAAGCATCCAATGGTTAAGACTTCAGTCATTTGCTGATTCAAACCAACTTATATAAACCGTAGCTGTATAGGTTAGAACAACAAAGTTCCATAATTAATCATGTATTTGAAGTTGTTTTCCGACTTAGAACAAGTTTATATTGTTGATGCAAATTTCACATCTAAACTTAAATTCATTGGCAACAATTAGAATTACCAAAATGGCCCTCCCAGCTTTTCGCCGCGGTTGTGAAAATGGCATGTGATCATTCACCACAATTATGACGACCTCACCACCTAGTTTGGACTTACAATTACTTTGGATTATAACACGTGTTGTTGTTCCTTGACCACTCCCACATGCTCCATTATTCGCTATAATAGAGTCATAATTAATAAAAGTTTAATAGAAACTCCATTTGTTCAAAATTTGATGAAATTTTTGCTTAAGAGGCAAGACTACTTCTCATGAATATTCACCATAATTAAACGATAAAACAAGAATTATCCATGTATTATCAGCTATATTAAGTGATACTTCATTCTCTATGAGAAACCAATATCAATTTATTGATCTCTATAGCTCCAAGATGCTTTCAAGAGAGAGCATTTATGAGAGTACTTTAACACTTGTTTCTCTTGGTTGAGTTTTTATCCTTGGAGTATATTTGCCCGGGACTCGATTGCATCACACAGATACTAATGTCAACGGTATATATACTTCGAAGATGGCAAAAGCATATGTGACACTAAACACAACCGATAGGAATTTCAAAAACGTGTTTTCACCATAGACCGCGGTGCGACTTCCACTGTCATTGTGTAAGTAACATTTTGGTAGGCCAATTCATTTACATCTAAATCTGTATTGGATTGTTGGATTGACAATTTGGATCATTTTTAAATTTGTCTGAATTGGGGATCGAAAAGTAATTAAAATAAATAAATAAATAAAACTAAAATAAAATTTATAGGGTAGTGATTTAAATAGAACTCAAAAAAATATTAGATATGCTTGAAAATATATATATATTAAATGGCATTTTAGAGGCAACTAGGCCGGGACCCATTAAATCCTGAAATCGATTCAATCTTAACTAGTTCTCATTCGAATCAAAGATTTGGATCGAAAATCAATAGGTTTTAAGACATTAATACAGAGCAAGTAACATTTATTCTAGATGAGACAAGTACATTTATCTTGTCACTCCATTGATCTTTAGCATTGTTTCGGATTATGAGGTGGATTTACTTGTGGAAGGTGGTGTCCATCAATCCTCGTTGGTTCTCTTAATCTCTCTTGTACCATTTTCTTTCGTCTCTTGTATTCATTTCCATTTAATGGAAAGTAAATGATTAATGTTTAAAAAAAAAAAAAACAAGCATATAATGATCGACAGTGTAAATTATTTGTATTTTTATCAGTATAAATCACCTTGGTATGTTTAATTTGTACTCGATCTGCTTAGATGTTGACTGATGCTTACACGTACAATGCATTCTGTACATCGTACGATGCATATTACATGACTTTGTAATGTTTAAAACCAGGTTTTAAAATTTGTCAAACTAGATCAAGATCTTAATGATGTAAATAAAAATTTTATTTTATATTTTTATATTTTTTAACATTTAAAAAATATTTTATTTGGAGTTAAGTTTTTATTTTTATTTATTATTTATTATTATTAGTGATTGAATAAAGAGTTCAATATTATAAAAAGATATTGGAGTGGACTCTTTCGTAGAGATGGCATAATACTTTAAATCTTTTTCATTTTCTTTTTATTTTTCTGTTATTACCTTTTCTTTGTTGATCAAGATCAGTATAGGGATGTGATGGGCCAATTCCTTTTTGGAATTAAAAATCGGCCTTTATCTCTCTAATTTACCAAATTATCCATTCTTGTTTTTTTATTTTTAAATTTAACTCTCCAAAAAAATTGAGGGAAGGCTCCTCAGTGCAACCATTCTATTTTTTTCTTTTCTGGATAGTAGATTTGGTCAGCTGATTTAAACCATTATAGTAGACACCAAATCCACCCTATTGGTCCATGTTTTACAACAATGTATAAAGCCATTTCAATAAGGTGAATTTATCAAAATATGCCTAAATTTTCACTAATTTAAGTGTTTCCCGTTTTCAACTATTTTAAGTCATGGTGGTCTATTTTGATGGGTTTTTGAAATAGGGGTATACAAATTTATTATAAAGAGGTCACAATTATTGTTGTCCGTCTAATTTTAAATCAGGTGGTTTCAAGTGTACCCTTGACTAGATTCAAAGTTCAAAAAAAATTCTAATAACACATCTCAAGCAATCCAATTTGATATACCAGAGCTAGGAGTGATTATAACCTCTTTGTAAATGGTAAATGATCTCATGATATACAATCCCTTAAATTAAATGAAAATATATAGGTCAAATATTAAATAGTTAATTTCTTATATATATTGTGATAAATTTCATAACCATACATGAAGGGTATGGTTTGTATAAGGTTGAGGCCCTAAACAATCAAAGTAAGGTGCACCTTCAAGTAATGTCGAAAGATGTTGTTTCAATATTGGGAATTGTTGTGCGCGGACACTCAAAACTCGATGAGTTGATTTTTGGCAAATAAAATATGAGAAATAAAACATGAAATGCACACCACAATAATATAAAGACTTACATGGTTCATCCAAGACGGCTACATCCCGGGCATGCCAAACATAAATCCACTATACCAATGAAAGTTACATGAAATATTTTGAAACAAATCTCCACAAAAAAACACAATAGAAACAACCCAAAATCTCATGGGAACCGCTCATCTATAAGAAACCAACATCTCATTCGGTAAACTCTCACTCGACAGGAGTCTTCAGGAGGCATCATCAATGTTTCTCTTTATATGAAGCTCTCTTTATATAAAGCTATATTTTTTCTAAAAAGAAATTGCATCTTATGCACATGAAGCTCTATCTCCATTTCTTTCTAGAAGAACCACCATTCTCAAATGGTGACCCACATAGGGTACACGATTAAATAAAGAGATGAATTTTTTGCACTTTCATCCCATATATATAAAATTAATAGCGGAAACTTCCTATTATGCTACATATATCTCAAAACCACCACATATATCTCAAAACTACCAGATAAATATAGGAATATCTCAATCCTACAAAATATGGGATTTCACTAATTTTTTATAACATCAAATCCAATAGAAATCTTGATAACGTTTTTAAAATTCATTTTACCTTTAATTATAAAATTTAAAGTTTTAAAATTAGTGTAGATCGAGTAGATCTATAAGTACTTGAAAATCTTAAAATTTGACGGCTCAGAAAATACATTACAAGATACATTATTTCTAAGACTTGAAATTGATTGTTTCTCGTGCACATACATCTTGAAGTCAAAATAATTGATTTGAGAATTT